GTAACTGTTAAATGAGAAACTATTTTGTTCTGTAAGCCTTCATCTTAAGTGAGAATAACAGCACAATTGGAAGAGCATAGTCAATGTCACTGAATTGTGCATGTAGAAATTTTTGAAATGGTATATCTTTGGCTATGTGTATTTTCACCAAAAAAAAAAGGTTGAGAAGTCAGAGGGTTGACATGTTGTGTGGGGTGTTAACCAATGTCTTAAAACAATACGTGTACTACTGTTTCATGAGAAACTATTTGTTCTGTAAGCCTTCACCAGAAGTACAATAAAAAAAAAAAATTCCCTGAAGTTTTCTTAAAACCAAACAATAGTTTAGCTTAACTAATTAAAAAATATCTGCTTTGAGCATTATGCTCTTTCGAGAACTATCTATATGGGATCAAAGTCACAACAGCAACTAGAAAGATTAGATAGGAACCTTAGGGGGCAGTGAGTTTATGTCAATGGAGGAGGAAAAACTCAGAAAAGGAAGGTGAGAATGGTTGCACAACTCCAAGAATGTAATCAATGCCACTGAATTGTACATGTAGAAATAGTTGAATTGGTATATGTTTTGCTGTGTATATTCTAAACCAAAAAAAAAAACAAAAAACCCAAACCCATTGCCGTTGAGTTGATTCCGACTTGTAGCAACCCTATAAAACAGAGTACAACTGCCCCATAGGGTTTCCTAGGCTTTAATCTTTACGGAAGCAGAGTGCCACATCTTTCTCCCATGGAGCAGCTGCTGGGTTCAAACTGTCAACCTTTCAGTTAGCAGCCGAGCACTTAACCACTATGCTACCAGGGCTTCCATATATTCTCAAAGACAACAAAATAAAAATTAAACATTAAAAAAAAGAAGAAAAATATATCATGAGACACCTGGAAGATCATGCTAGGTATATTCCATCCATTACTATTATCTGGAGGCATCACTTATACCAGATTACACTGATGAGTCCTGCTCTATTCAAACTACTAACTGGAAGCTGCTCACTCAGCAGTAGGAATATTTCCATGGTGACTTGACATGTTATCAGTTAGATGGCTCATAGAGGATAGGGATTATGTCTTCTTAACCTCTTTATCTCTGCAGCCCTAGCATTTAATACAGTGGCTGGAACATAGCAAACAAACAATGTTGTTTGTCCAAGAATGAATGAATGTGAAGAATGCAAAGATACCATCAGAGACCACTCTACCTTGGCATCTTCTTGATCTTCCAGGGAAAACTCCATCAAGTCTTCTGAAATATCCTCTGCCTGGCCTTCTCCTAGTTCTGGATTTTTATCCAATTTTGGAACTGTAGTAATGGGACTGCCCAGATCTTCCATTTCACTTTCCAACAAGTTTCGATTGTCCTATCAAGTATATTGACAATATTAAAAACTATCCAGTAATATATCTTGTTCCAGGCCTTCTCTCCTTCCCAGAAATAGAAAATCTAAAACATGATCAATTTTATCCACTTAGGATGGGATATGTTACAATGGCTTTCTCATAGGGTTGAGAATAGCACTAAGAATCCAAATCACTAGCATATGTTGAGTCCATGGTCTATGAAAAACAAATGAGTTCCTGAGTGACGTAAGAACACAATAGCTAAATGGGTGAAGGACACAATCATTCACTAGAGGGAATATACATGGCTAATATTAAAATGAAGTCAAAACTAACTATTTTTTAACATGAAATAAAATATTTTTACTTATACACCCACTCCTCACTTATCAACTCTCTTGCTATCTGACATTTCACATTTATGACAATAGTAAAAAATCTACTATTTTACACACTAACGATATAATGTCTGGCAGTAATGAACACCATGATGTGAGGCAAGAATAACACTGGCTGTTCATGGTTTAGGTTAAGTGTCAACTTGGCTGAACCATGATTCTCAGTGGTTTCGCAGTTATGTAATGATGTAGTCATCCTCCATTTTGGGATCTGATGTGGTCATCCTCCATATTCACATAACAACCTGGTCCTTGGAACCTAACCATGTCGATAAGTGAGGAGTGGGTGTATAATTAGCAATTTTTACCCCCCCCCAAAAAAACCCATTGCTGTTGAGTCGATTCCAACTCATAGCGATCACATAGGATAGAGTAGAACTGCCCCACAGGGTTTCCAAGGAGCGGTTGGTGGATTTGACTCCATCCCACGAGCTATGGAATGGTCATCAGAATGTAAATTATTATAACTTTTGGAGAAAGCAATTTGATGATGTGTATCAAAATTCTTTAAAATATCTATACCCTTTCACCCAGAAATTATGTTTGCTACCAATCCTAAAGAAAAAGAATCTAAAATGTAGGCAGATTTATGCTCAAGAATGTGTATCATGGTATTATTTATAAAAGCAAACTTTGGATACCACTAAGTGGTGTCTAACAATAGGGAAAAGCTTATGCAAATTATGGTCCATTCATCAGAATAAAAGCATCCATTAAAAGTATTTACCAAGAGTTTTTAATATTTACGTAAAAAAAAAATCAGGATATAAAATTGTATGTATGTAAAGATGAAAATTATAAAACTGAAAAAAAATGAGATAAAATCTTACAGTGGTTTTTGTCTAAATGTAATTATTTTCCTTTTTATACTTTTGTGTGTGCATGGCTTTTTTGTTGTTCATTTAACATTTTCACAATAGGTATATGAAAAAAAAAAACAACCAAACCTGTTGCCGTCGAGTCAATTCTGACTCATAGTGACACTACAGGACAGAACAGAACTGCATAGGGTTTTCAAGGAGCGCTGGTGGATTCAAACTGCCAACATTTTGGTTAGCACCCATAGCACTTAAGCACTGTGCCACCAGGGCTCCAAATAGGCATACAGTACTTTTAAAATCAGGGGGACAAACACTTAAAGAATTAAGTACACCGGGAAAAAAAGTCTAAGAATTTTTTCTCCACTTTAAGTTTAAACAAAGAAAATGATAAGAAAACACATGCTTCCCCCTTTTCCCTGCTAAAAGTTTACTTCTCCAACCCCTTTTCTCACCCAAGTCAGCTAAGGTAAGTTAAAAGGTCATAAATCCAGATCTGCCATTCATCTTCAGTTGACCCTTAATGATAATGTTCAGTGACTCACCAGCAAAGAAAGGGGAGACAGATAAGGCCCCCTTGGTCTCTTTTGAAACCTTAGGTTCCTGAGTGCCAACCACACCAAGGGCTTCAAAGTATTGTTTTCCTAAAATAAAAACTATACTGGCTGGAGAAAAAGAGGTTAATAGGCCCTGCCAAAAACATTTCATCTGATTAAGCCATGAATAACCATCATGAAACATATGGAAGGTAATCAAGTTGACCCCATATCCTGAAGATACAAATTATGGTTTGGATTTTATGTAAGATATGTAGATTTGCTTTGCAGGATGTTAATTTTATGATCACAAACAAAAGAATCAGAAAAGAAGGGGAGCCTGGCTGGGGAGGGGATGGTGAGATTAAGAAATCTAATCATAAAGGGTGATTAAAAGGGCAGTATTAAATCTAAAGAAAAAACGATTAGAACAGTCAAAAACACTGGCATATCTTAGTCAACATGAGAAAAGAACATCAATCTTTTATGGATACCAACCTGGGACGGGGACTGGGGCAGGGAAAAGAAAAAGACGCCTAGAAAAGGAGATTAGTTGCAGGGATTAGTTAGAGCATTATCTTAGTGATTAGGTGGCTCTGGAGAGGCCAGTTTCAATTTGGAACTGAAAGATGGCCTGAGGCTTAGACAAAAAAAAGGACCATGGTTTTTTCAGAACAGGGCCTAAGAAGTTAGACTAGGGGGAAATAAGAAGAAACTAAGAAATCTAGATTTATACGGGACGCCATGCAAGGAATCTACGAACAAATCATGCACATATAATTTCCCTTTCTGTTAACCACTGCGCAAAAACAACAACAACAAAAAACCTCCTAAATCCCTTATACTACTGAAACAGAGATTTTGTCCTCAAAATGATCAACTGAGTACGAGTATTAATGATGACTTGCTATGGAGGACTTGGAGTTAGGTTCTGTCCTAAGGTCAAAGCTTAAAGAGAAAAAACAAAATTATTTTTTTCCTATAGCAATGCTGTTTGCTTGTCTAGTATGCAGAGATATAAACAGCTCTGTAATAAGGAGTCCCCGGGATGGCACACACAAACAGTTAGGTGCTCGACTACTAGCCAAAAGGTTGGTGGTTTGAACCCACCCAGAGGGCCCTTGGCCTGGCAATCTGCTTCTGAAAGGTCACAGCCTTGAAAATGCTATGGAGCAGTTCTGCTCTGCACACACGGGGTCGACATGAATAGCAATCAACGCAATGGCAACTAACAACAACAGATGTCTCCTAATGATACAGACGTGTTGTTCCACTCAAAGGAAGAAAACTGCTAATGTATCTAGTTATCCATTAATCACTTACATTTTCTTTATTTGCAGATGAATGGAACATTGCATTTTTCCTTCTGTGGCCATGGTCCAAAGAATTTGGAGTGCTGCACAGCAGTTGTGCCTATAAGAGAGTTTTCTGAGCATATCTAGCATCTTTGAGCCACAGGTGAGTTAGAAACCCTCTGCCTCCCACCCAAGAAACAAACCCAAACCCAAGAAAGAGGGGCTACTCACTGGGTGGGCTTTTATAAGATGCTGATGATTATTCCTGCAGATCAAAAGAAATTGCCAATCAGCTAAACCTCAAATATTGTTCAGTTATTCTTCAGTAGCTTAGAGCATCCCAACGTTTCCCTTCTTCCTTTGTAGAAGCCCTATACCTAGTTGATATATCTCTTCCAATACCAATAAATAGGGGATTCTCTGTGGTAAATATCAAGATGTTAAGTGACATCCTGGGAATAAGGCCTGTCTTAGTTACCCAGTGCTGCTATAACAGAAGTACCCCAAGTGGGTCACTTTAACAAACAGAAATGTATTCTCTCATAGTTTAGAAGGCTAGAAGTCTGAACTTTGCACTGGCTCTAGGGAGAGGCTTTCTCTGTCAGCTCTGGGGGAAGGTCTTTCTTCCCTGGTTCCTCTGGTGATCATCATGTGGTATGGTATCTATCTTCCCCCATCTCTGCTTGCTTCTCTATGCCTAATCTGCCCTTTTATATCTCAAAATTGACTTAAAACACATCCTACACTAATACTGTCTAATTATTATATCAAAGAAAATCCATTCCCAAATAGGATTATAACCACAGGTACAGGGGTTAGGATTTACAACACATATTTTTGGGGGACACAATTCAATCCACAACAAGGTCCCTTATTTCACTTGCATAATCATATATGCAGATAAGCATCAAAGATGAATGAGTGTGTCCTCATCTTATACAGACATAGTCATTGTTATTTACTAACTTTTCCAATATTAACTATTGATGGTTAATATATATTTCTTACAGATTTCTATAAGGGGGCTTCCAGGATTTACCTGAGTTCTTAAGACTTTCATTTGTCTACATGAGTTATGACATTTTAAGCAATTCAAAGAAAATGAAAGTGATATAAAGTGAAATTTTTACATGTTATGGAAAGCCTGCCCCAGTGCACTAAAGTAGCATCTAATTCACCTAAGCACCAAAGCACAAAATTCCAAAAAGTTTAAAACAGCCAAGTGGAAAACCTACCTTAAGTTTAAGAAGGGCTGAATTAAAATTAATTTATATTCCTTAAGTATTCCCTGACTGAATATTTTAAGATTTCCAAGAAAGAATCCATAACAGTAATAATAGTAAACAGTATAAAATGCTTGGTATGTGCTAGATACACATTTTCATTTAATCCTTACAGTAACTGTTTATGAGAAAAGTGCTATCACTATCTCCATGTTACAAATAAACTGAGGTCCAATGAAGTTAAGACACCTGTCCAAGTCTCAGCAAATAAAGTAGTAAGTCACTGGAATACATATTCTCACTCCAGAACCTGCACTCTTAACCACTAAAATATAGCATATCTAACATGCAAGTAAAAGCCTCCATTTAAGCACAATATACCATTTTCCTTTATTTTTAAAGATAACACTGATTGTATGTAACAGTTAAAATGAATAGCCTTCATTGTCACAATACTATTTAGGTCTCCACCATTCATCTGTCAGTTTGTCCTACTATGGTGGCTTCCTTCTTGCTGTGATGCTGGAAACTATCCCACCGGTATTTCAAATACCAGCAAGGTCACCCATGGTGGGCAGGTTTCAGTGGAGCTTCCAGACTAAGACAGACTAGGAAGAAGGACCTGGCGATCTACTTCTAAAAAATTGGCCAGTGAAAACTTGATGAATAGCAGCAGAACACTGTCTGATACACTGCCGGAAGATGAACCCCTCAGGTTGGAAGGCACCCAAAATACAACTGGGGAAGATGCCTTCTCAAAGTAGAGTTGACCTTAATGATGTGGATGGAGTAAAGCTTTTGGGACCTTAATTTGCTGATATGGCATGACTCAAAATGAGAAGAAACAGCTGCAAACATCCCTTAATAATCAGAACATGGAAGGTACGAAGTATGAATCTAGAAAAATTGGAAGTCGTCAAAAATGAAATGGAATGATTGAAGATCAATATCCTAGGCATTAGTGAGCTGAAATGGACTGCTATTGGCCATTTTGAATTGGACAATCACATGATCTACTATGCCAGGAATGATAAAGAGGAATGGCATCACATTTATTGTCAAAAAGAACATTTCAAGATCTTTCCTAAAGTACAACACTGTCAGTGATAGGATAATATCCATAGGCCTACAAGGAAGACCAGTTAATACGACTATTATTCAAATTTATGCACCAACCACTGTAGTCTGAAATTGATCAAACATGCAATCAGGATGCATTGATAATTAGTGGTAACTGGAACATGAAAGCTGGAAACAGAAGAACGATCAGTAGTTGAAAAAGATGGCCTTGGTGACAGAAATGACACTGGAGATCTCATGATAGAATTTTGTAAGACCAACGACCTATTCATTAGAAATACCTTTTTTCCACAACACAAATGGTGACTATACTTGTGGACCTCACCAAATGGAATACACATGACTCAAACTGACTACCTCTGTGAAAAGAGATAATGAAGAAGCTCAATATCATCAGTCAGAACAAGGCCAGGGACTGACTGAGGAACAGACAGACTATCAATTGCTCAGTTCAAGTTGAAGCTGAAGAAAATGAAAATAAGTCCATGAGAGTCAAAGTATGACCTTGAGTATATCCCACTTGAATTTAGAGACCATCTCAAGAATAGATTTGACATGCTGAACACTAATGACAGAAGATCAGATGAGTTGTGGGATGCCATCAAGGACATCATACATGAAGAAAGCAAAAGGTCATTAAAAATACAGGAAAGAAAGACAAGACCAAAACAGATGTCCAAAGAGACATCTTGAACAGAGAGTAACTAAAGTGAATGGAAAAAATGATGAAGTAAAAGAGCTGAACAGGATATTTCAAAGGGCAGCTTAAGAAGACAAAGTATGAAATATGCAAAGACTTGGAGTTAGAAAACCAAAAGGGAACAACACTCGGCATTTCTCAAGCTGAAGGAACTGAAGAAAAAAATTCAAGCTTCAAGTTGCAATACCGAAGCGTTCTATGGGCAAAATAGTGAATGACACAGGAAGCATCAAAAGATTGAAGGAATACAGAGTCACTGTACCAAAAAAAACTGTTCGACATTTAACCATTTCAGGAGGTAGCATATGATCAAGAACCAATGGTATTGAAGGAAGAAGTCCAAGCTGCATTGAAAACACTGGTGAAAAACAAGCTACAGGAATTGACAGAATACCAGTTGAGATGTTTCAACAAATGGAAGCAAGGTTGGAAGTGATCACTCACCTATGCCAAGAAACTTGGAAGACAGTGACCTGGCCAATGGACTAGAAGAGATCCACATTTATGCCTATTCCCAAAAAAGGGGATCCAACCAAATGCGGAAATTATCAAACAATATCATTAATATTACACGTTTTTGCTGAAGATCATTCAAAAGCGGCTGTAGCAGTACACTGACACGGAACTGCCAGAAATTCAAGCCAGATTCAGAAGAGGACACGGAACCAGGGATAGCATACCTGATGTCAGATGGATCCTGGCTGAAAGCAGAGAATACCAGAAAGACGTTTGCCTGTGTTTTATTGACTATGCAAAGGCATTCAACTGTGTCAATCATAACAAATTGTGGATAACATTGCGAAGAATGGGAATTCCAGAGCACTTAATTGTGATCATATGGAACCTGTACATAGACCAAGAGGCAGTGGCTCCAACAGAACAAGGGGATTAAGATCAGGAAAGGTGTGTGTCAGGGTTGTATCTTTTCACCGTATTTATTCAATCTGTATGCTGAGCAAATAATCAGAGAGGCTGGACTACACGAAGAACGCTGCATCAGGATTGGAGGAAGACTCATTAACAACCTGCAATATGCTGATGGCACAACCTTGCTTGCTGAAAGTGAAGAGGACCTGAAGCACTTACTGATGAAGATCAAAGACTACAGCCTTCCATATGGATTACATGTCAACATAAAGAACACAAAAATCCTCACAACTGGACCAATAAGCAACATCATGATAAACAAAAAAGACTGAAGTTGTCAAGGATTTCATTTTACTTAGATCCACAATCAACGCCCCTGGATGCAGCAGTCAAAAAATCAAACGACATATTGCTTGGGCAAATCTGCTGCAAAAGACCTCTCTAAAGTGTTCAAAAGCAAAGATGTGACTTTGAGGACTAAGGCAAGCTTTAGTATTTTCAATCACTGGACAAAGAATAAGGAAGACCGAAGAATAATTGATGCATTTGAATTATGGTGTAGCGAAGAATACTGAATATACCATAGACCGCCAGAAGAACGAATAAATCTGTCTTGCAAGAAGTACAGCCAGAATGCTCCTTAGAAGCAAGGATAGGGAAACTTCATCTCACGTACTTTGGACATGTTATCAGGAGGGACAAATCCTCAGAGAAGGACATCATGCTTAGTAAAGTAGAGGGTGAGCGAAAAAGATGAAGACCCTCAACGAGATGGATTGACACAGTGACTGCAACAATGGGCTCAAACATAGTAACGATTGTAAGGATGGCACAGGACTAGGCAACCTTTAGATCTGTTGTACATAGGGTCACTATGAGTCGGAACTGACTCCACGGCACTTTACAACAACATTTAGGTCTGGGAAACTTAAAAGCTTTTCAAGGGAAGGATTTAGGCCTCGAAGCCCCACTTATACCCAAAGTAAAATGTTCTGTATTCTGCAGCATCTGCATAGGATAAGATCCCCATAGCCAGTGCTGAAAGGCTTGAGCATGGGGTTAATTTGGCAAAAGAACTTACATCCCAGCTATCTGTATTTCCTGAGGTCCTGAAGAATCCAAATGACCTGCAATCAGATACAAAGAATCAGTAAGAGGAGTTATTCTTGTCCATGCACCCTGTCTTTCCTTCTGATTTTCCCATTACCAGTAAACTGTATTATTTTCAAAAGCTAATCTTTTAAACACATAGCCTCCCCATAAGTACCAATATTCATGGAAACTAAATAATTTACATTATGTCACTGAAAAAAAAGTGCTGAGAAGCAATATACTATGGAGTAGAAAATAAAGCTTATCATTTAGAAAATCTGAGATTAAAATAAGTACTAGGATGGTTGACTAATGAAACATACTCCTTTCTGGGCACAGACCTATAAAAACACATAAATCTTAGTTGACAAAGTATTTAATTTACGTTGGTTTCTTTGCCTCTGCTGAGATTAGACTAGGGCACAAAACTTCTCATATCTTAACTACTATACTTTCATTCCCACCAATCAGTCAACAAAATATTCCTTCCTGTATAGCTTTTTCAAATGCAGTGATTCCTATTAATGTTATTAGCTTTCTCTTCCTACTGGCTTAATCATTCCCCTCAAAAATCCTCCTCCAGTTACCCACACAATTCCTACTTCAAGGCTCCCTACATACTTTCACCACCTTCCATCTCTATCCTACTAGCCTGTCCTCTCCCTTATGTTATTCTTCCCATTGAGGCCATTACAGCTGTTATTTCCCTTCTCCGTACCGGTTTCATCAAGGTCTGAGGAAGTGGCAAACTGAGTGGCAGACATCTCCCCACTGCTAAGATTTGAAAGATCAAGGCAACGTTTTGGGGTTCCTCTGTCAAGACATAATAGAACATCAAAATTCCCATTAGGTTCTAATATCCTTAAAGGGAAAAAGCATATCATCCTCATTTGCAACACTCCTCAATAACTATCACAAAATCTGAACAGTGCCCAAATAAATCTAGTAACTTTTTCAGAAACATTTTAGACTAATAATGGAAAAAGAAGCCCTGGTGGTGCAGTGTTAAGCTCTCGGCTGAGAACTGAAAGGTCAGTGGTTCAAACCCACCAGCCAATCTGCAGGAGACCGTCTGCTTCTATAAAGATTACAGCCTTGGAAACCCTATGGGGCAGTTCTACTCTGTCCTAGAGGGTCAGTTTGAGTTGGAATCAACTTGACAGCAACGGTTTTTTTTTTTTTTCTATTGTGCTTTAGGTGAAAATTTACAGAGCAAATTAGTTTCTCATTAAACAATTAATACACAAATTGTTTTGTAACATTGGTTGCGAGCCCCACGATGTGTCAACACTCTCCACTTCTCCGCCCTAGGTTCCCCATTTCCATTCATCCAGTTTTCCTGTCCCTTCCTGCCTTCTCAGTCTTTGCTTTTGGGCTGGTGTGCCCATTGAGTCTCATATACATGGTTGAACTACGAAGCATGCCCCTCACATGTGTTATTGTTTGTTTTAAAGGCATGTCTAATCATTCTCCTCAAAAATCTCTGGGTGAAAGGTGAACTTCAGGACTGAGTTAAAAGGGTGCCCAGGGGCCATACTGTCAGGGTTTCTCCAGTCTCTGTCAGAACAGTAAGTCTGGTCTTTTTTTGTGAGATTGAATTTTGTTCTACATTTTTCTCCCGCTCTGTCCAGGACCCTGTATTGTGATCCCTGTCAGAGCGGTCGGTGGTGGTAGCCAGGCACCATCTAGTTGTTCTGGACTCAGCCTGGTGGAGGCTGTGGTAGTTGTGGTCCGTTAGTATGGCAATGGGTTTTTTTGGTTTGGTGATAATGGAACAACTAGGCTGAGAAAAATGTTTCACCTTTTCTTTACTCCAATAACCTGTACCTCATTTTTTCCTCACCAACTTATTGAGACAGGATAATTTTTTTTTAATTGAGGCCCAAAGTTTATTGACCCACAGGTCTTGATCCTATGTCCTCTCCCCTGACATCATGAGGACACAGACTTGAGTCCTCCTCCCTAGATTCTCTAGTACTTGTCAGCTCTATAAATCTCCAATTTTGTTCGCTAGTTGAGGCATGAGGACATGACATGACCAGAATTTAAAGTACAAGTACACACACACACACCCACATTGCCCTTGAGTCGATTCTGACGCAATGACTCTATACGACAGAGTAGAACTGCCCCATAGGGTTTCTAAGCCGTGGCTGGTGGATTCGAACTGCCTTTTGGTTAGCAGCTGAACTCTTAACCAGTGCGCCACCAGGGCTCCAAGTGCAAGTACAATAACACTAATAATAAAGTGTGCAAAGACTTTCCTCAGACATCACGTCATTAGATTCTCACACGATCCTGATAAAACAGGAAGAGATTAATATTCCCAGATCACAGAAAAAAAGCCTGAGACTCAAAAAGGGTCACAGTTAGTCAAGGGCCGAGATGAGACTTAGACTCTTTTCTTAGGGCCAGGATAATTTATAAACAAACAACAACAAACTATTTAGAGAAGCAAAGGAAATTAGGTGTAAAAATAAAAGTGGATTTACCTAGACAAAATGCTTAGGTTTCCAGAGTCACCCAGGAGTTTGTCCACCGGAGTTCTAGGGAGATCTGGACAGGTGGTAAAGGAAGCCTCTCTCTCCAGCAGCAGGTTTAACCTCTTCCTCTGACTGAATCTAAAACTGGGCCCCGAGCCAGTGCTTCCCTCCTCTCTTGTGGATGAGAAGAGATTTGCAGACATGGTCTCCAAGTTCTCATCAAGAAAAAATAAAACCAATATAAGAGGAGAAGGTCATGTATACAGGTGCATCACTGATAAACCACAGCTTTCACTACAACCTCCCCCACCCTTTCCAGCAGCAGTCAAGCAAATCAGTATTGGAGGGGGGGCATCCCCAAACAGTGATCTTTTTGGTGGAGCCTAACTTACCAAGAGGCGACTCAAGGCTTTAAAAATGGAATGAAGAGAGCTTTTGATTTGTTCCAGGCCATACAGCTCGCGAGTCCTGACGGGAACTCAGGTCTCCTAATTCCCGATAATGCCTATCACGTCCTCCGGCCTTACGTTTGCGGGGCCCTGGCTTAACCCGGAGGAGAAAATTGGGCCTCCGTGACTCCGTAGCGTAGATGGCTCCGGACCTAGTTCAGGTTTGAGTTCTCAGCGTTGTCTTCATGAGGAACAGATCAGATACAGGCGAAGCCTCGAACAGAAATTAAAGAAAAGAACAATCTGGGGAAACGAGGCAATTAACCAGACTACTATTTTGCTCCTCGCCAGGGTAGGCCGGGGTCGGGCTTTGCAGCTTCTCTCCGCAGAGTGGAAGTTACAACCTCAGTGCAGGAATACCAACAGCCGCAGGCCTTGACCATTCAAACCTTCCGCCCTCCCAATACCCTATCCACGTTTGCCTCTAAACTGCTTCAGCCAATCTCCGTGCGCCCGCCAAGATACCCTCGGCCAATCGTTTGACTCTTACATCACCTCTGGGTGTGAGCTTGCGCTGGAACAGCAATATTTGCCCCGCCCCGGGGTCAGAGCAGGGTGGCGATTGGCCCACCAGAGTTTGGCAAGCGGCTAGGTAAGCCCCGCCCCACTGGGAGCCTGGCGCACCATTGGCTCTCCCTTTGGCCAATCGCCGCCACACCCTTCCTGAGCTCTCCCCTCCCTCAGCCTCACCAACCCCGGGAGATTTAAATTGCGACCACTCGCTAGACTAATACCTGAAGACTATAGTTTAGGTGGGAGGGTTTTGGGAGCGTTTCTTTTCTCTTGCTTCTTTCTCGTGCTGTTACGTGAACCTTTCCCTCCTAGTTTTGCTAGCTTTCCGCTGGAGATGGAGCATTTGCCGCTGGCGTAGCAGGTGTTGGGAAGAGACAGGTGTGTGTGTTTACGCAGAGCGGCGTCAGCCCCTTCCAAGAACTTCGGTGACCCTTTTTAGGGGTATCTCTGAGACGTTAGGTTATGCAAGGTAAAGGGAAATTCCTTTGCAGGGAAAATAGGGGAGTTGAATAATTTCTTGGCATAGTCCTTATCACAGTTCAAAGGATTCCAATTTTTGTTATGGAAATTTGTCTTGACTAAGTGATTTTAAAGGAGCCTTGGTGGCACAATGGTTAAGCGCCTGGCTGCTAATCGGGAGGTCAAGGGTTTGAACCTAAATCTTTAAGCTGTCTGCTTCCTGAAGATTTCAGCCTAGGAAACCCTATGGGGCAGTTCTGTTTTGTCATATACGGTTACTTGGAGTTGGAATCCACTGGCACACAACAACAGGTGATACTAAATTATTCATAATTCGGGGGGTTTGCTTTTAAATAATGGAGTAGGGAAAAGCCCATTATATTAGTACTTGTCAAAGTTTAATGTGTTTTCTAACCACCTGGGGATGTTGTTAAAATGCAGATTCTGACTCACTAAGTCTGGACTGAGACCCAAGATTCTGCACTGCCAACAAGCTCTTATGGAAACCCTGTTGGTGTAGTGGTTAAGAGTTTGGCTGCTAACCAAAAGGTCAGCAGTTGGAATCCACCAGGAACCCCTTGGAAATCCTATGGGGCCATTCTACCCTGTCCCAGAGGGTCTCTGTGAGTTGGAATCGACTTGATGGCAATGAGTTTGGTGGGTTTTTTTTTTCTGTAACAAGCTCTTAGGTGATGCTGATGCAGCTAAGCCTAGGACTATCATACTTAGAGTAGCACACAACAAATAAAATACCATTGCCACTGAGTTGATTCCGACTCATAGTGACCCTATAGGACAGAACAGAACTGCCCCATACGGTTTCCAGTGAGTGGCTGGTGGATTTGAACTGCCCCATTGAATTAAGCTATTCTCTTTACTACTGTGTATTATTTGAAATTTTCCATAATAAAAAAATTTTAAAATAACCTTGGAAGCTATTGAAAATCCAAGAGCCCCAAATACTGATTCAATATGCCTAGAATAGGGCCCAGGAATGATCAAGGCCCCAGGTGCCACCAATGCAGATGGTTTGCAGACCACACATGGAGAAACATTAAGTCAGAAATGGCAACCTTTATCTTTGAGAAACAGTTAAGTCAGAAATACTACTTTTATCTAGTGTCAGGATCTTGGTGGTGGTGGTGGTGGCTGAGAAGCATTGTAGTCAGCTGATTTTTACCTTAACACTCCCTTCATCTGTAGAATCTGCTTCTCCAGAAAGGAGATACATGAGGAGTCTGTCTTCTAGGATAGAGATGGTGAGTGTGGGAGTCAGCACAGTCATTCCATGCCAGGTGAGTTTGAAAATCAGGCTGGGAATTAAGAGTATGGGATGAGTTGGTTCTGCTTTGATGACTATAATCACACTTTGTGGGGCACTGTACTTCCCCACAGGTGGGAGGTAGAGACAAATGATGTTGTCCTTCAGCGGCGGCAAAAGCAGATAGATTATGGCAAGCACACGCCTGGCTACCAGTGCTTTCTGCAGCAGGTCCCCAAGTGAGTGCAGTTGTGGGGTGGTCACAGCAAGGGTCAACCAAGTTGTTTTGGTTCAATATCAGGGGACAGAAAGATCTGAGTGTTTTGAATGTTCTCACAAAGTTGCAGAATTACTGTTTCCTGCAATTTAGCCCTAATGTTTCCAAGATTTTTTTTTCAAGTGGAACATACTTGGCCCATATGACTTTTTAAAAAAAATTGTGGTGAAATATATAATAAAATATTTCAACAATTTTCTGTGTGCAATTCAGTGACATTAATTACATTCACGTTTTGCAACAGGCACTATTATGTTTCCAATTTTTTTATCACCCTTAACAAAAATTCTGTATCACTTAAGCAATATCCCCTATTTTCCTCTCCTACCTACCCTGCCATATGACTTTTTAAAGCTCTGTGTTTTCCTAATGAGGTGGTTTTCCTTCTAACCATTTTTACCATCATTTCCTTATGCCTCCCCTTGACTTGGTAATTGCAACATACTTGCCTAATTACATGTAAGTTTACACGCACTCATATAAATTAAATGCATGAAAAGGAGAATTTATTTTAAAGGGAAGTCAAATATTGTCTTTTATGTCTATCTTGATTTCCAAGAATATATCTAATTTACCCATTCCAGAAGAAAGGCTATTAGGGAGGCTGAAAGTTTGGTGTTTAATCTGAAGACCTACATTTTTCTATTTGATTGAGGGCACTGAACTTACCCATTCTCAGGGAATTTCTAACTAGGCTCCTGATTCATTGTGATAAGTAGTGAGCTATGCCTCACTGACCTCAGCCTGACCGAAATTCGTTGTTGCCAGGGCACAGCAACAGGCAGGGCTTCACCCTCAAATGCCAAACAAGTACAGGAAGTACAGTACAGCTGTCGCTCCTGGGATGCCCAGATTAGGCAGTGGAGAAGAGCACTGCCTTCCTGGGACCCACCCAGCCAGCCCCTGCAGGGCAGGGCTGGTATGGGGTGTGCTCACTATTTCTGGTTCCTTCAGTGAGTGTTGGGCTGAGCCCCACTCCTCCCCACTTTGCAGAGGTTTATCTTTCATTGTGTGAAAAGGGAGGGTCTGACTTTGCTGCCTTCCTAGGCAGGGAATGGAGAGTCTCTTAGAGCCAATGGACTCCACCCCTTTGGATAATCTACTGGATGACTGGCTCCAGGCCCTGGAACCCTCAGAGAATCTGAATGGAGACCAGGTAGTATCCTCTGCTGAAAGCCATTAGAGCAGGGTCAGAATGGGGTCTAGCCCATAAGGGCACAATTAGGATGGAGTTCAAGGTAGCATCCCAAGAACAAAAGGAAGCAGCAGGAAAAAAATAATAGGACACGACTTAAAAACTTGAGAACTAAGAGGAGGGTATAAGGAGATTTAGCAGGAGCCCTGGTGGCACAATGGTTAAGCACTTGGCTGCTAACCGACAGGTTGGCTGTTCAAACCCACCCAGTGGCTCCATGGGAAAGTCTGCTTCCACAAAGATTAGAGGCTTGGAAACCCTATGGGGCATTTCTATTCTGTCACATGGGGTCACTATGAATCAAAATCAACTCAATGGCACCTAACACGAAGGAGATTTAACTATAAGTAATGGAGATGGGGCTTTGGGCTACACTGGGTGCTATTTTACACTTGATGAAAGGGAGGGTATAACCTTCCTTTGAGGCCTGAAATCTGATGCACAGTTGTTTTGTTTTGTTTTTTTAATGTCTCAATTTCTTTCAATGTTTTGCAAGTTAGCCAATGCTAATTTAACTTCTTTTACTCCATCATTTAACTTTTATAAGGATGGCTGATAATTTTTAAAAATGTTGGGGGGATATAGCCTAGTGCTTTACATAACAGAGTCTCAAAACTGGTTTTTAATACTATCTTTGCCCAACACTTGGGCACTCACTTAACCTCTTGGGCTGTTTCATCTGTCAAATAAGGAGACTATTTTTGTCTCATTTGGTGATTGTAAGCAAAAATGAAAATACATATTTAAATTATATAGCACAGTGCCTGGCACATAACTGCTTCACAAGCCATTATTGAAAACAGTGTCTCCTATGCTTCATGGTCCCTGCCTCTGCTTCTTTTTCACCAAGGGGAAATGTGCAGTGCAAGGTAAATCCCCCTCCCACTTTCTTATAAGTACCTCACTTTTCCTCTACTCTTCTTTTTCAGTTTGCTGACTTGGCGGCTCCGCCTCCTCCCTTCCCTGGCTCAGTGAGGAAGATCCCCATACTGACTACTTTCTAGCTGATCACAGCTATTTACCTGCCCCACACTTGAGTGAGGCACAAAATATTTAGAGAAAACAGACGTCTTTCAGGGGAATTGTTGTTAAGTGTAATAGTGAAGATTACTTGCATTACTACCACTTTCCAATCAATTAAAAAAGAAATCTACAACTCCACCCTACAAAGAGATCACAACAGGACAGCATTGTTTAAAACCTCTCCTTTTTCCATCTGTTTGCCTGCCTCTCTGAACCATCTTTGATGCTAGCTGAAACTCAAATTTACATAAAAGCCAGAAACCATCTAACTGTTCCCGCAACCTCTTCACCTACTACTACATTCAGTCTCTTTTAAAAGGTTTTAAACTTCAGCTGGCTGAGGTGGGAGGTGGTAGTGGTAGAGACTTAAATAAAAGAGGGTTTTCCTCATCCTCAAAAGTAAATAGCACTGTCAACATCTTTTCCCCTTCTCCCTGTTTCCTCCCTCCCTCCATCTCTGTCTTAAAAAAAAGTGGTCCAGATGTAACCACTGTACCCCTCCACACCCCCCACCCCCGCAAGCAACTGAACCGCCTATGATGTCATAATCACAATCCCATTACCTCATCCTGATGGGGGGCGGGTAGAGGGAAGAGAAAGAGTGAACAGCCCTGGGCCCTCCTCAGCTTTACGAAGTGTTCTGGGTGAAGGCTAATTACAGAACCAAGTGGTAACGGCCCCGCAACCGTTGTAAATCCTGGGTTTATAAGGTTCGAGCCGATCCAGCAGCTAAAAGACGGGCTCCAGGGACTCAAAGCAGGCCCTAATCGGCGCTTGGACTACACTTCCCAGCAGACTTCACGCCGGGGATCGGTCCTCTGCAGCGGGAAGGGGGATTTCTTTACAGAGGCGGCGGTGTAGGGCGGGAATAGGTGAGAGGCGCCTTGGCTAATGCTATTACGTGGTCCGAACTAAGTGGAAAGCTGCATTTGGGCCGACACAGGAATAGAGGGCGGGGGCGATGGCTTTGTTTACCTTCGTCGGGCACCGCTTCCCCCGCGGGTTTCAAGATATACCACAAACTGGGCATGTCCACCTTCTGCAATATTTTGGGGGGGGGTTGCTCAATAGGGAGGAAACCATCCCCATCCCTAAATCAAAGCCTCAGGCTCCTTCCTGACAGCGCTATCCGAGAAAGACTTTGAGAGAGAAAGGACGCGAAGCTCAGGCCCCCGCGGGCGGTTCAGCAGGTTTCTTCGAACCGGTGCGATTCTCCCACTCTCCTCAGGGGCCCGTTGGTTCGCGCCGGCGCCTTTTAAGGGCACCGTGGGGGCGAACGGAGCGCTCAGAGCTGCTTCGGCCGCGGCCCTGGGAGCTGGAGGAGCCGCGGTAGGTGGCAGAAGGCTGGTGGTGCTGGGGCCTTGGGGCGGGCACCTCGGCCGTTTCTCCTCCTTCTCTTTTTCCCCTCCCCCAACCCGGCCGCCCGCGCGGCCCGGCCTCAAAGGCCGCCTTCCCGGGGAGAGCACGGGACCCGGTGGGGGAGGGGGTGGCGGAGTGCTAAGTCCCAGACCCTCTCCATCCCCTGCGTCCTAAGTACGCTTCCTGCGGCCAGATGATGGAAGCTGAGTGGGAAGAGGCGAACGACAGCCCCCTTGAGCGAGCCCTGGCGCCCCCCGCCCCCTGCAAGGGGCCAGCGGACGCCCTATGCCCCACCCCGCGGGGGCAGGCAGGGCAGCAAAGGGAGAGGTTGAAGACTGGAGGGGGCCTAGGCTTTTGCTTCTTCATCGGGGTTGGGGGAGGGATTCGCCCCACTTGTCACCCCTTTCCCCATCAGAGCCGTATGGAGGAAGAGCAGTCAGGTCCCCTCTTACCTGTGCCTGCACCTCCCTGCCTCTCATGTTTTTCTTTAGTCTCTCCCAGAGGTGTAGGGCTGGGACCTGGGGGCAAGGTCCCCAGGGGATATGTGATTCTCCTCCCCCTTGACTTGACTTAATGTTAGGTTTTCCAGGTTTCAGCACAACCTCAGCATCCCTGAGGCCCTAGTGTCAGGGGTTATTGCCATGTATGGGAGATGAGGTGGGGGTCCGATCTTTATTTTAGGGGGCTGGTGGAGGAGGGAAAGCCTGGACTGAGAGTTGGGCCTGGTGGGGTTGTGGGGAGCGCCTACAGGCCTGCTGCTCAGTGAAAAGCTGATCCCTGTGCCGGTTGTTAAGCTGAGAAGTTTTAACTTGTTTGGTGAACGTTCAAGGCTATCTCTACTCCTCAGATATACAAAATGGAAGGGGAAGGAAGGCGGCCAAGAGAGGGCTTCTTAGACTTTTTTCAATGCCTGCCTGAGAAAGAGGAGGCCCCTCGCGGAGCTGGTTTGCCTTCTTTTGTGTCCTGGTTTGATTCCTTATGGCTTCCATTCTGTTCCCCCTCTCAGCCTGGCCTGTTTTAGGAAACTCAGGCTGAGTATCAGTTGCCTGGTGGTAGTTGCATTGTTCCGATTACCGCCGTGTGTGGCCACATCCCAACAATTACAATGCAGAAAAACACAAAATCACTCTCTTCGCTTGATCCTAAAGAGGTCTGGGAGTTTGCTGTTTGGCTAAATGCCTCATGAAAACCTCTCACTCCCTGCTCCTCATGGCTGGTTATGCTGAGGCCTGGGGTCTTTGTGGTACAAGCCTCCAGTTAGGTTCCCTCTCTGGTTGATCTTTGAGGCAGAATTAAGAAACCAGAAGCAGAGATGGTATAAGCATTAGCTTCTGCCACAACAACTTAGTGGAAGCAACTAAAGGGAGCTTTCAGGAGGCTAGGACTTTGTTCAGAGTGGTAGTAATTATGCATGAAAACGATAGTTAACTGTAATGATGATGGACTTCTCTGGCACCTTTTTTCCAAAGAACTCTCAAGTACATTCAGATATATTCCTTTGCTCTTCCTTGTGGCCTCCCTCTGAGGTGGAAATGGAATAAAGATGATTCCCTCTTTTTTGCAAAAGAAGAGAGTGATTTGCCCCAAGGTCACAGAAGAGCGTCTGTTGGTACCCAGCCAGAGATAGACTCTATTACCTTCTTCATCTTAATGATATCATTGCTTCTGACATCCTGAGGCTTTGTAGAGTAACAAACTGGAGGGGAGAGAAATAGTAGCCTATGTGGACTCCTGATTTGTACAGGCCAGATGGTATGCTTTTGTACATTTTTCACATTTCATGTTATATCCTCCTTGCTACAGATTAAGGTTTTTCTGGCCGTTTTACATATGGGTAAACTGAGGCCAAGGAAGGTTAAATGACTTGCTAAAACTATCAGAGGAAGCTGGATTAAGATTTAGATTTTTTGATCCTTTGTTCTCTCTAGGAGCCCTGCTTAAGAGCTTTGCTGCTAACCAAAAGGTCACAGTTCGAATCCACCGGCTGCTCCTTGGAAACAGTATGGGGCAGTTTTACTCTGTCCTATAGGGTCACCATGTGTCGGAATCGGGGTTTTTTTGTTTGTTCTCTCTCTTAGCAAATACTGTTTGCACCCTCTGGTGAGCTGTCTGCCTGCTGGTCATTTTTGGGAACAGGCAGAACAATACCATGTGACTCTAGGTTAACCACTTAGTTTTCCTTGAGCAAGGCCCCTCAGGCAATTGTGTGGTCCTGAAGCATGTTCTCAGATGAGCTGGTTTGCTTCTATCAGAAATTGACCCTGAGAGAGTCTTGGTTAATTGTATTCATGGTCTTGGAGTTTGATCAGGCTAAAAACTTAGTTGAATGAAGTCAAAGAGGAGTAGTTTTTAATACCTATAGAGTTGAAATGTAATGAGAATTACCCTGATAGCATTTCTTTATTCTCTTTCCATTTTACCAGAGAATATGCACAGTATCTGTTGGAAAACAATAATACATCAACCACTCAGGCTAAAAAAAAAAAACAAATCTGTTGCCATGGAGTTGATTCTGACTCATAGCGACCCTATAGGACAGAGTAGAACTGCCCCATTGGGTTTCCAAGGAGCGCCTGGTGGATTCGAACTGCTGACCTGTTGGTTAGCAGCCAAACTCTTAACCACTACAACACCAGGGTTTCCAGAACATAAAATCCTGTTTATTCTGATTAGTCTAAAGCAGAAAGTCATTCTTACAATCACCGCTCCTCTCTTCTATGGTTTAGGAAAAGGATATTTCTGTTCTCTTCTGACTCTGACTGGAAGATAAAGAAAACATTGGGTTAATCAGGATGAAAATAACCATTTGGGCATCCTCCTCTTTCCTTTCAACCGTTTTCTGAGTGGTGCTGGGGTTCTCAGTAGACTCAGCAGAGCATGAACCAAGTTAGGAATGGCAAATAGGTTTCAACTTGCTTGTCAACTCCAGTTCATTTTATTGAATATCTGGAATGCCAAGTTCAGAATGTTTCTAAGACTATGTTCTGAGACTGTGTTTAGGCTTAGCAGGAAAGAGCTGTGATCAATTAATAGTGTCTGCCAGACACATAGGGGTGCTGTGGTATATGTGCCATGCATTTTCCATCTCTGGACCAGGTACATCTCTAATGTCACTTGGGGCTGGTCCCTCTGTAATTGGCAGACTCAGCAGGCATGACTGGAGAGGGAAGTCCCAATGGTGCTAGAATGGTGCTGCAGTGGCAGAAGACGGCTCACGAGTGAGGTCTGGAAGAACGACAGGGAAGACATCCATCATTTGCTCCAAAGTGTGCAAGTCAAATCCTGGGGAGAATCATGATAACCCTGATCACTGAGCAGCTACAGAAGCAGACTCTGGATGAGCTGAAATGCACACGCTTCAGCATCAGTCTGGTAAAAGACCAGTCTTCCTGCTTCTCCACGACCCGCCCCCCTCCTTTTTCTGAGGCTGTTTTTGCTACCACTTCACCCTTGTCCTGTGCTGTATGAATCATGGTACTTTTACTGGAAGAGCCCACTAAAGGCTCAAAACCTGGCCCAAAAGGAAGGGGGCAGGGATTGTTCCACTGATAGAGAAGGGACACTAAAACTTGGGTGGAGAAGGGTTTGAGATGTTGGAAGATGTGTATTGTTTTACTGACTAACTTTGGGAAGACAAGAGGAGGAGAACAGGAGTCCCTCACATCCCTACAGCCCCCAAATTCAGTGATGAGCTGAAGAGGGCTTCCTGGAACTCTGTCAGTGTGTCCTGAACCCAAATGACTATGGATATTCTTTCTCTTATAGCCTTTGCCTGATCATGCAGACATCTCCAACTGTGGGAACCCTTTCCAGCTTGTGTCTGGTAAGGCATCGTGTGTGTGTGCGTGCGTGCACCTGCGTTCACATATTTCTTTCATTGACTTCCAGTGACCAGGGCTAGCTAGCCTGTTTGCAGAACTTTGTTGCAATGGTCACCTTCCAAGATTAGCACTTGTCTCTATTTTACTGCTCCAGAATGGAAGTTATCTGTTTGGTTTGCTCTTACTCTAGCCTTGTGGGGACTTCCATAATCTAATTTTTTTTGAAGAGGCAATACACTCACATGGTTCAAAATTTTTTAAATAATAACAAAAAGGTTATACAGAAAAAAGTCTCCCTTCCACTCTTGTCCCCTATTCACCCAGCTTCCATCATCTTCCTAAAAGTAGCTTTTATTTTTTTCTTAAATATCCAGCCAGAGTTTCTTTATACAAATAAAAACAATATAATGTATATTTTTATCTCCAGTTTTTTGTCTAACACAAAACGTTGGATACTATATATGTTATTCTGTACCTTATTTTTTTCACTTAACTAATATAGTTAGGAGATCTTCCATATGAGTACATTAAGTGTTTCCTTGTTTTTTAATAGCTGCATATTATTGCATAGTATGGCTGTATCAGTTTGTTTAACCACTCTCCTACTGATGTTCATTTAGGTTGTTTCCAATCTTTTATGACATATAAAACTTTGGTGAATAACCTTGTATATATGTCATTTTATATATGTGAAAATATATCTGAGGTATAAATTCCCAGATTATGAATTACTTGCTCAAAGGATCTATGATCATGGAGACATGTAGATGAAGTAGACCACCAGAAATCTCTAATCCATGCTGCTAGGCTGTTCTGCATCTCGTTTTGTTTTCTGGGATACCTGGCAAGGGAAGTGAGTTGGCAAAAGCATCTCCATTCAACCTCTGCCTCCTATTTATTAAATACTTGCTGAGAGCCAGGTACTGTGTTACAGGTACACAGCAGACACATGGTCCTGGCTCTCATGGAGGTTAGTAGTGGGGAGAGCTATTGACCAAATAAAATCAAGCATGAGTTTTCTCCATCATCAAGTCTTAACTTCATAATACTTGTCAGTTGCTCCAAATATCTAGCCCTGCAAATTCCAGCAGGGCTGGATATTCAAAGGAGGTTGGAGTAGGCCTTTTGTCACTTAGTTAGCTGTCTCTCAAAAGTCACAGTTTTGGTTAGAGTGCAGAGTGAGGACCATTCCTTTTAGTCAGTTTCCCTTCCCATCCCTCGGTCTCCCCATTCTATTTGGATTTAAGAGAAGGCCTAAGGGAAAGGAGTCAGGGTGTGTGGGTGGCCAGACACAGAGGATCATGGGCAGCACAAAGTCTTAGGGCTTCCCAGGCATAGGTTCCTCCATCAAAGGCCTTTTCCCTACCCCATTTGCCGTCCTTAGAAGTAAAAAGTGATCTCTTACCCACTTGATTACTTCTTACTTCCTGGCAGCACCTTACTTACATCTTGGTGCTTTTGACACATGGGAAGAAGAGAGGTCAAGGAAGGAGAGCTTAGGCCTGCTTTTCAGAACCCAGGGTAGACAAGTTGTCTTAGTCATCCAGTGCTGCTACAACAGAAATACCACAAGTGGATGGCTTTAACAAAGAGAAATTTATTTCCTCACAGTTAAAGTAGGCTACAAGTCCAAATTCAGGGCATCAGCTCCAGGGGAAGGCTTTTTCTTTCTGTTGGCCTTCTTCTCTTTGGTGTTCCCCCGGACTAGGAGCTTCTCTTCGCAGGGACCCCGGTCCAAAGGACGCGCCCTGCTCCCGGCACTGCTTTCTTTATGGTATGAGGTCCCCCAACTCTCTGCTTACTTCCCTTTCTTTTTATCTCTTAAGAGATAAAAGGTGGTGCAGGCCACACCCCAGGGAAACTCCCTTTACATTGGATCAGGGATGTGACCTGGGTAAAGATGGTGTTACAGTCCCACCCTAATCCTCTTTGACATAAAATTACAATCACAAAATGGAGGACAACCACACAATTCTGGGAATCATGGCCCAGCCAAACTGATACACACATTTTTGGGGGGACATAGTTCAATCCATGACACAAGTGGCAGAGATGGAGAGTAGGGCTGGCTGGAGTGGGGTGAGGGATGAGCAGAGCTAAACATACACATGTCTGTTTTGCTTGACTCATTTTACCTTGCAGAGGGAGTGGCAGGTAGTACATGAAAGTATATTTTAGATTTCAGGTGGTTTCTCATAATGGAAGCAGTATAACATAGCGGTTAAGGGATCTGGCCTTGGTGTCCCTTAGATTTGAATCCTTCTGTGGTCATTTGACTGCTGTACAACTTTAGGCAAGTTACTGGACTTCTCTCATGTATGAAATGGAGATAACAATAGTACCTACCTCATGAGGTTTTTGGGAAGAGGAAATGAGATAGCCTGCATAAAGTGCTCAGTATAGTGTGTGGCACATAGTAAGCTCTTGGATAGAGTTAGCTATCATTAATATTATTTTTATTATGAATGCTTTCCAGAAGGTGCTTCCTGGAGGGGCCTGCCCCACTGTTCCTGTGCCAAGTTCCAGGACAGCCTCAACCTCAGCTACCATCCCTCAGGCTTGAGCCTGCATCTCAGACCACCCAGCCGGGGAAGCTCCCTACAGGAGCAACCCCTCCCTGAAGTCCTAAGCCCTGAGTCCCCAGACCCAGAGAAACTCCCTGTGACCCCCGCCCCTCCATCCAAGAGGCACTGCCGCTCACTCTCCGTGCCCGTGGACCTGTCTCGCTGGCAGCCAGTGTGGCGGCCCGCCCCCTCCAAGCTGTGGACTCCCATCAAGCACAGGGGCAGTGGTGGAGGGGGTGGGCCGCAGGTGCCTCACCAGAGCCCCCCGAAGCGGGTCTCCAGCCTCAGGTTCCTCCAAGCTCCCAGTGCCTCTTCTCAATGTGCCCCAGCCCACAGACCCTGCAGCCCCCCTTTCTTCAGCCTTGCCCTAGCCCAAGATTCCTCTCGACCCTCTGCTGCCTCCCCCCAAAGTGGCTCCTGGGAGAGTGATGCTGAGTCCCTGTCACCTTGTCCACCCCAGCGCCGCTTCTCCCTGTCACCCAGCCTGGGCCCGCAGGCAAGTCACTTCCTGCCCTCTGCCCGGAGCTCCCCCGCATCCTCCCCGGAGCTGCCCTGGAGACCTCGAGGCCTCCGCAACCTTCCCCGGAGCCGCTCACAGCCTTGTGATCTGGATGCCCGCAAAGCTGGGGTCAAACGGCGCCACGAGGAGGACCCACGGCGGCTGCGGCCTTCCTTAGACTTTGACAAGATGAATCAGGTGGGATCAGCGGGACTAGGGGAGCTTGGTGGGAATGGGGGGACGGGGACTCTGTTCTTGTCCTACTCTTAAGCTGTCCCCTAGCTCCAGGTCCTCTTGGTAGGGCCTACCCTGGAGCTCTTTTCTGTCTGAGCTTTTACTAGGGTAACCTACCATCCTGGTTTGCCCAAGATTGTCTTGGTTTTAGCACTGAAAGTCCTGTGTTCTGTGAAACCTTTCAGTCCTGGACTTTCTAGAAAAACTGGGGTGAGATCCATGTTAAACCTTCCAACAGGGATGCCAGGGTGCCCTGCTTGAGGCACTTTCCCTCCTCTTGGAAGAGGCATAAGCCACAAAAGTCCCCTGCCCCTCTTGTGTTCCAAGCTGGTTTTGCCACTTGTTCTTCACTGCTTCGAGTGGGTCTGTGAGAGCTTAAGCAAGAGAGGCTGCTGCATCATTCATCTGTTCAACAAATGCTTTTTTGATTTCCTACTATGAATGCAGTTATATGCACTGGCCCACTTTTTTCACGTTCTTTCTTATAGACTAGGTCACAAACCTCTTTGAGAATTTATTCATACTGGCCTCCAACCATTCAGCAGACATTTATTGAATACCTACTATGTACCAGCTTCTGACTAGACACTGGGAATTTAGTAGTGAAATAACTAGAGAATATCCCTGCCCACATAGAGCTTAATAAACAAGCTTCTAATCTTGAACCTGATGGAAACTATGGACTCTTTCCTCAGAGAAATATACATGTACACTACATTTTCTAAATTTTATCAGGGAATTCACAAAAACCTTACCCTAAAACCTAGGATTCCTCCCTTGAAGGGTAACCAAAAGGGATACTTTGAGATACTGCTTGGGCCAGAGCGCTCTGGGAAGTTAGTATCTTTCTTTGCCGTCTTAACTTCTTGTTTGTTTGGCAGAAACCGTACTCAGGAGGTCTCTGTTTTCAAGATACAGCCCCGGAAGGCAGCAGCATTTCTCCGCCGTGGTTCATGGCCTGTAGCCCCCCACCCCTCTCTGCTTCCTGCAGCCCCGTTGGGGGTTCCTCCCAGGTGCTGAGTGAAAGCGAAGAGGAGGAGGAGGGGGCCGTGCGGTGGGGGCGGCAGACGCTAAGCAAACGGACACTGTGCCAGAAGGATTTTGGCGACCTGGACTTGAATCTGATTGAGGAGAACTAAAACTGAGAGGCTACTTCCTGGGGCCACACAGACTGACTATCTTATGGCTACTAACAAGTGTTGAGGCCCCAAGGCCGGGGGCCCAGCCTGGGAACGGGGGTGAGTGGAGGGCTCCAACTCAGGGCAGCTGGAAATCTTCTCACTCCAGACAACTCGACCATGCCAAGAGACTGGCCGGGACAAGATAAATGGAGCTGGTGGCGGGAGGGACAGCCCCAGAGCAGACCCTTCCCATGGCGGCCCTGAGTGTGAGTATCCCTGCCACCGAGAGAGCGATGGATGGGCAGGGAAGGAAGGGGTCTGCTGACCCCAGCTCGGGGAATTTCACTAGCCCCTTTGCTTCAAAGGGCACTTGTGTCTTAGAATTTGGCTAGAGTAGGGGGTTGAGTCAGCCTCCTCAGAGAAATTGTGTGAGTGTGTGCGTGCATGGGAGTGTGTTCAAGTAAAGGCGTCTTTTTGTAGCCTTAGGGAAAGAAGGCATTTGCTCCTTAACAGCAGAGCATCGTGATGCCCCAGGATCCTGAGTTTTCACAGGATACTGGGCTTGGTCAAGGAGTTAGGAGGGCACCAAGTTTTCCTTTTTTCTAAATAGCTCTGGAGCCAGGCTTGTAATCTGTAAGCACCACTGGCTCTGCAAAGGACTCTGTTTGGGGTCTTTTAAGTGCCGTGACCTCAGCTAATGGTCTTTTCATTATCCCCACCTCCTCCCACTAGGTGGATCTAGTAGTGGGGGCTGGAGGGGAGGTTCCACATTTATTCTGAGCTGGCCTTTTTTTCTCATCAGATTGCCTAGGCTATACACATCCTGCCTCTCTCGCTCTAAGTAGATGCAGGCACATGTGGGCAACTGAGTCAGTTTTGAAGGGCTCCATCTCTCACTTTTCATTTCTACTGAAGGAACCTTTCTGCCCTCATGCTCTGACCTAGGTCAGAGACAAGGAAGGAAGATCCTGTATTGGTCCCCAGTATCTATTGAGGCAGACCTGCAGCAGGAGATAACGGTGTTCAGGCCCTACAGGCATGGATGAGCTCACCCCAGCACTGCCCATTGGAAGCAGACTGTAAGGAAGCCTGTTCTCGTGAGATCCAGGCCCAACCTCTTTTCTGACCTGCTTGAGAAATGAGTGTCAGCATTTATTAGTTTGCTTATCTTCCACTCCTGCCAGGAAATGTTAATTTGCCTCTAATTGGCCCTGAGAGACCACAGGGAGGTTGGGGCTCACTAAGGGATCGGCTAAGAATGTGTAAAGCAAAGGCTGTGAGGAGCAGTTGGGAGTTTGTTGTTGTTGGATTGAATTTCCTTTTTTAAGTTTCTCACCCACAGCTTGAGCTAGGGCAGCAGGTCTCAGTGGCTACAGTGATATGTTTAAGGACTGCAGCTACCATGGTAGGGCTGGCACCAGTGGAAATGCGTACTGAAGCTGCCACTACAATACCTAGTGAGGCTTTGTCCAGCTTTGGTTAGACCCTGCAGGACCAAATTGGGGCTGCCTTCCCTGTTTATTAGAAGGGCCATTTTCTTTTCAGTTTCCAGGGTGTCTTAGGACCCAAGTTTCTTGTGTTAGGGGAAAAGATCAAGGTCTATGTGTTTTCTTCCTTGTGAAGTTGATCCTGACATTTTTCTGGGTCTCCCACATGTCGAGTAAGAGCATCAGTGAGGCTCCTGCCTTCTCACCTGCACTCCAGAGGAGAGGTGGCCGTGTCTTCTTGAGCCTCTGGCACTCAGAGGCTCTACCCTTCCAGGGCTCCTCTCCTACAAGTTACCACATATTACCAGTGGGCCACCAGGACTGTGGGGACCTGAGAGAACCGCTGCAGAGAATCCAGGGAAACTGTGAGCCTAGGAGTTGACCATCCTTGGTTTCATCTCTCCCCTGGCTCTTCTCCCTCTTCAGGCCATAATATAGGCCATAATTTTCCTGGTGCCAGCTTCTTTTCCTCCTGGGGCATCCTCATCCCCAGGCTCTCTGCTGCAAATTGGCTGTGCCAGCTTCCATTAGGCCACTGGCAATGCCAGTGGGGTCTCTGCAGGCCCTAAGCTAAAGAAGTGAGGGCAGTAATTATGCCTCCATCCTGGTTTCCCCAAAGCCCTAGGGTACCCTCTTTAGGGAAGAAAGTCTACAGATATCATAGTTGAATTCCATTACTTTAAGACTGGAAAGTTAAACTCACCAGAACTATCATCTTGCTTCCTAGTCTAAGCACCCATGGCCCTGGGACAAGCCTTTTCAAGAAGTGGTTCATTTTGCTTTACACAATAGATCTGTTCCAACAGTTCTGTGTAAATCAAATGCTATTTTTCAGTGCATTTGAACTGCTGACCATTTAAAAGCAGACTATGATTGCTTCTTTTGTAAAGCAAGCACCTTCCCTCTACTTTAGCTGTTTTGACTATTCAGATTTTCACATATTGGACTTACCCAGAGTGGAGCACACCTCTACAGGGCTTGTGGTTGATGCTGGGTAACCATCTGCATCTGTGCTGTGTGTGTGATGTGGCTGACCAGTAGGTGAGTATTCCTGCGTGTGTGAGTGAAGCCACTCTCAGGCTGGTGCTCTCCTGTGCCCGGTGACTGCCCAGTGGCAGCTCCAGCTGCCCTTCACTCCCACCTGCTGCCAAAGTCCCTGTGCTAATGGGATTACAAATACAAAAAGTGGAAAAAAAAATTTCGTAAACTTTGTTTTATATTAAAAAAAAAAAAAAGAAAAAAAAGTCCATAAGTCTGTGTGTGTTAAACATGAGGTCCTGCCTCTGTGGCTGTGTTTGAAAAAATAAAGTTTTATTAGAATAATCCATTTTCCCAGGCAATCTTGTGTACTACAGTGTCTTCTTCCCTTCCCCACAAAGAAAGGCAAGGAGGAAGCGGGGAGAAGGCCACCTAACTCCTCTAGTCCCTTCCTCTAGGACATGGCTGGGCCTTGGCCTTTGAAGGGCAGCATCTGGTCCCTAGGCCCTTCACAGGCCACAGCAGATCATATCCTATGGCCCAGGCTTCTGTTAAGTCCTTGGTTATTTCTGGCAGTCTGGTTTGCTCTGTTTCCCTGGTACTTATACCTGTCTCTTCCCGGCTGTCATTCTCACTTCCAGCAGGTTGAAGTCAAGTATTAATACATTCCAGCACCTTGAGAAATGCTTGATAGTGCAGTCAGCAACTTGTGTAGATTGGTTGGTAGGTTTTGGGAGATGGGGAGAAGGCAGGGTGGGAGACTTAACCAGGAATCTCTTCCTTTCTTAAGGGTTTTCACGTTAGGTCTTGCAGAGATGGAGATTTTGTCATCAGAATTCAGATTCCAAAGACACTGACAATTTTTCCATCCTAAAAATACTGCTGTTAAAAAATTATCCTAGCAGCAGAGCTTCTCTTTTGTCCTAGAAGAAAGTATTTTTCCCTAATGCTTCAATGTGGAATAATTGTTTGCTGAAAGAAGCTATGTGGCTCTCTCTCTCTCTCTCTCTCTCTCTCTCTCTCTCTCTCTCGACCTTTCTCTTCCACCCTTTCTTCTCCCTACGTTAGCATTCTTCCAATGTGTGTGGGCGAAGTGTAGTTGCTTAGAGATCCAAACAGGAGCCTCTGTCCCTAAGGCTTAGCCTTTCTTTACCAGTTGTGCTGACTTGCCAAGCAGCAAGAAGAGTCAAGTTGCTTAGCTTATGTCCCAGTTTCCTGCTTCAAACTAAGGATACTCATCAGTGAATACCACTGAAATGTGCAGGAGGACAGGATTGGCTTGACTACCTGAAGCAGGAACCTTTCAGGGGGCAAAAATGTATCCTAGAAAGAGTGAGAGTTGTCACCTGCCCTGGAAACAAAAGAGGCTTTGGGGGGGGGGGTGCGGGCAGTGGTGTGTGGTTGGAGAAGCTTAGAATTACAGTTTTTTTCCTTAAAACTGCTATTTGATTTCACCTACTGGTAGAGCAGGGGTAAAGTTTGAGCATCTAAAGTGGCTCACCCCCCTTTTCCTTTCTTCTGAATTATTTCGTTGGGTTTTTCTGCTGTTTATTTTGTGAGGCCGAGTATGATTTTATTTTCCATTCCTGAAGTGCTGCTAGTATAGGAAAGAATGTAAACTCCATGAGGGCAGGGGTTTTGTTTTATTCACTGTTGTGTTACCAACACTTTTAAAAGATTCTGGCACATGAAAAGTGCCTGGCATATTTCTTGAATACATTTCCCACCTCTGCTTCTCCCATCCCTGAGCTAAGGCACATTTCTGTCTCTGGTGCTGGGAGAAGCCAGCCTTGGACACTAGGGTAGTAATTAGAGCTCCATGTGAGAGAAAATCCCAGCAGTGAATTTTGATAGGAAAGCTGCAAAGCAGCTAAGTCCTGTAGGGATTCACCCTTGTTACCCGCCTACCAACTACAAGTTTTACTTTAAGAGGGGTCTTTCGGCCCAGACAAGCATTCTGAGTCTGGCCTCAGGTTGGCGGGAGATAGAAGTTCCAAGGAACAGGGAGAGAAAAAGTCTAAGCAAATGTTTCCTTGGTGCTTCATAGGGTTAGTTCTAAAATGACTTCCCTAGATATTTTGTACTTTTATAAATGTCAATACTTGGTGGCCCCCCAGCCTTTGCTACAAGAAAAGTAGGTCAAGGATATAGACTGGTTCTGGACAGGAGGTAACTTGGCAGTCACAGAGTCTTGGAGAAAGAATCAGCTACTGCCAGTGGATCAATAAAAGAAATGGCCACCTTAATAGTAATAGTCATGGGTTATTAGTAAGCCCTTTATCTTTCTGGTTTGTATCTGCTTCCATATGTACTTAGTCTCTGCATCCATGAAACCATGGAAACTGTACTAGTCTCTTTGACACTACCAAAGTTAAATGAGGTTGTCCGCTGCTTGGTGGTTGAGCCAGGGCCACCATAGCAATCTAGCCAAAAATCTCAGCAGCATCTTCCCTTCTCTACAACCCTCTTTGGATAGACTTGAACTTCCAAGCTTTCAGTTATCAGCCAATGGTGGCACCACCCAGGAACTCCCTTCCATTCTATACTGCCAATAAATTACTTCATGGGTTCCTTTCCCATTGGACAATGTGTTACATCCACTGTATGTAATGTGACTTTCCACTGGCTGAAGCAGGATAACTCAGCAGGAGCTATCAATCTTCTACATCTGTACCAAATAAATTCAGATAGGAGTGACGGGGTTTTCTTTGCTCCCAGCCCTACTGATTCCTTGGTAGAATGTGATGCTACTGAACCAGGAAAGAGAGTCTAATCTCTTTCCATTTCCCCTAAAATCTGAGTTGGGTTAAGAAACACCAGGACTTAATAACATTGGCTGTCTAGAAAGGGGAAATTCCATGGGTTTATGGCAAAAACCAAGATGCTGGCACAGTGGCCTTCACCCAGTGAAAAGTGTCATCACATCCAATGGATGTAACACATTGGCCAATGGGAAAGGAACCCATGAAGTATTTATTGGCAGTATAGAATGGAAGGGATTTCCTGGGTGGTGCAAATGGTTGACACAGTTGGCTGATAACTGAAAGGTTGGAAGTTTAAGTCAACCCTGAGGCACCTTGGAAGAAAGGCCTGGTGATCTGCTTCCAAAAAGTTAGTCATAAGAAAACCCTCTGGAGCATGGTTCTACTCACACACACAGGGGCGCTGTGAATTTGAATCCACTTCAGGGCAACTGTTTTGGGTTATACAATGGAATGGTGTGTTAGTTTTGGGCCAATGAGAAGGGAGATATTTTATCCCATGGGCCAATGAGGGGAAAGTTTTCTCAAAGATAATAGGAAGGGTAGCTCATTTTCAGGATAGAAAGTCAAGTGGGTATGGGGCACCGACTTCTTAGCTCAAAATGTCCACCCAATAGGTACCTTGCCCCTCAGTCCACCTCCTAAATAAGTCTTTGGTATCTGAGAAAGGTAAGCTAAAGCCTCAGATAGGGGACCCCTATGATGGAAGGTTGGGACCAAGATGGTGCCATGGGGGACTGAAGGACTCGCCCACCTCCCCACCCCCGCTGAGTCTGCAATTCCCCTCCCGGCCGCAGGGGGCACTGCAGGCCCCGGGGAGGTTGGGGTGGAGCGCTAAGAGGGGCCCGCAGCTGCCGTCCTGCTCCGAAGCGCGGGGGGCGCTGTGCGGGGCCCAGGTTGTGGCTCCGCTCCCGGCCACGGGGGGCGCTGCGCGGCGCCGGTGGTTGGTGGTGGCTGTTGGGGGGGGGGGTTGGGGGGAGCCGCGGCCGCGGGTGGTGCGGAGGGAGGCCTTGCGGGCGGATCGGGCGCTCGGCGGCGGAGGTGGTGGGAGGGCTGGAGTAGGGGTCCGGGCGGCCCTGGCGATGGCGGACGCGGCGGCTTCCCCGGTGGGCAAGCGGCTGCTGCTTCTGTTCGCGGACACCGCGGCCTCAGCCTCAGCCTCGGTTCCCGCGGCGGCGGCAGCAGTGGCGGCGGCAGGCGGAGATCCCGGGCCTGCGCTGCGCACTCGGGCCTGGCGGGCCGGCACGGTGCGGGCCATGAGCGGGGCGGTGCCCCAGGACCTAGCGGTGAGTGGCGGTCGAGTCGAGCACTCGAGACCGGGGCTGAGGGGCCTGCGGGCGGCCTCCCCGGGGGCCTTTGTGAGGGGGCGGTGGGGTGGGGGTGCCCCAGTTCTGCGCCCCCCGATCTCCTCAGCGCCCCCCGATCTCCTCAGCGCCCCCCGCCGGCTCCTAGGCACCCGGAGCTCTGGCCGGCATGGCTTCCGCGTCGAGGTGCGCGTGTCGGTTTCCCCCGGGGGGCGGCCGGGGAGCCTTCAGCTCCTGCTTCCAGCCGGCAGGCCCCGCCTCCTGGGCGACCCCGTTTTCGGCGTCCCCCCTAAACATGCGTTCCGAGCAAACCACCGAACGCTGGGCTCCCGGGCCCCTCGGAGTTCGGCCGGTGCTAGCGCTGCCTTCTGGAAGACGCGGACCAGTGGTCTTCAGCCTTTCCCGGTAGACTTGCGCCGTGTTCTCGTCCTCCCGGAGCCCCGAATGGGGCGGGAATGTGGGCAGTTGTGGGAGGCACAGGCTGCAGTCGAAGCTGCTCGGGGCTTTTTTATCTGGCAGTTACTTCCTCCTTGTCTGAGCGGTGTTCGACCTGGCGGCCTCCAGAAAGGCCAGCTCTCGAGACCCTTTTGGATTCTCTCTCAGCTTCTGGGTGACAGGAGCTGCAGTTGTGGCTGTTTTTTTATGAGTTTGAGATCTGTCTTAGCAGCCGAATGGGGCTGCTGGGTGATTTTTGCTCCCAACTCGGCTACTCTCCTTCAGCCTTGGGAGAGGTTTTGTTTTGAAACTTTGTGTTGGGGCTTGGGCGCTTTCGAATACATGACTTAGAGTGTTTTGTGATTAAAGTTGTTGTTTAGTAATAGAACTTAACTTACATTTGGGACCATGATGTGTTATTTTTGTTAACGTGGCAGCAAAATATTGTCTTTGAGCCTCTGTAAGGCTCTTTAGTTCGTCATTCTGATAGCGGCCCGAGCTTCTGTGGTGAGATAAGGCTATGAAAAAGAGGATTCTTTTAGAATGTAATAGATCAGCAGGCAGAACGTAAATATTCTTGATGAACTTTCTTGTGCAGGTATTTTATCCGCTGTAAACTTGAATGCATTTTGTGAAATTTGTAAGTAATATTGTCGGATTCTGATATTCATTTTTCTACCCATTGATTTAACAGTGCTAGGCTCCCCCCACCTCCCACCCCACCCCCCAATATGCAAGGTTTTTGCTTGTTTGGCT